AGCAGGTGAGAGAACGACTGTTCCGACGCGCTACATGACGCTGACGATTGCTCGTCGTATCGATAGCGTCGATGTCCATGGGCTCAGCCGCCGATTCCCGAGCTGAAGCGGGGCAGCGGTGAGCGTATGACGCCGCAACCACGTAGTTCTCGCGTAGTGCGAGGGCAAATGCCTCTTCGAGTGTAGAAGGGTCCGATCTTGTAAGGCATTAGCGCGCCATGCCTTCGCGCATACCGAACACGAACACATGAGCCTGAAAGGCCATATCGATGGGCTTGGACACGATACACGACGCGAGGTGTCGTGTCTTCTGGACGTAGTCGCGCATAGTCATCGTGCCTTGCCGAAGGGCGAAGAAGTCTGCCCGAATTCGGGATTCATCTCGCGGCGGCTTGAGCGCGAGCCGAAGGTCACTCTGGAGGGTATTCACAGTGGGGAAGGCGTTGGGGTCGACGAGAGGGCCCATTCCTTAGCTTTCCCGGACAGCCGCGAGGAGGAAGTGGACCTTCGCGGAAGGCGCCTCGATCAACCTCGAGGCGATGGCGATCTTTCGAAACCAGCGATTCAGCGGAAGTCGGTGTTCTCTAGCACCGGAGTAGGTGGACGTCTCTAGCTTCACGACGTCATTCGTGGAGATACGCGAGGGAGTTGACACTCGCCGATTCGCATCGGCGAGCTCCATGAATTTTTGTGCCGCAACCCGCTGTTCGTCGGGCGTCGCTGAGCGCAGCACCGACGTGGCGACGGCATCTCCAGACACCGTCGCGAGGCGGTGGAGAGCTTCCCACTCGATCCGAGTGAGATGGGGGAAAGCGGCGTGGTCGAGGTCTTGGCCCATGTCGAAGCTGGTCATTGGAAGGACTACGAAGTGCTAACAGGTGTAACGGGCCAGGTATTCACTCCGTTACTTGCTTACACTTTAGTGTTGAGGAAGCTCGCAATAGGCGATTCAGTCTTAGGTTTAAGGAAAAATCAATTGTGACTTTATTTTAGCACCAAGGCCACAGCCCTGGCCACTCAAATACACGTCATAGTCCATTTGGCTAATAATGGCTATGGCTCCCCATATATCAGCCAATGGCATGACAGCATTTCAGCACACGCTAGTCGTGTGCCGATGCACCTACTTATGTAAAGAAATCTACCTATTTATGTAATGGAGGGGCCCATTACAGTCAAGATAGGCAAGATGATGTTTTGCGTAGTAGTCACAGATCCATGACCGATGTGCAGCTAAGATCTTTCTTTCTCTTGGTTTCCCGCTCGTTCAAACATCCCAGTAGCCTCGTAGACGCGAATCCAGTTGCCTATCGTGGTATCAGACATGTTGTAGATATGAGTGAGCTCCTTGCGCGTTTGTAGAACGCATATAAGCAGTGAAGCACCGTGTTGGGATATGCATGCTGCTTGGCTATGGCGTCTTTCATCCTTCTGATGTGATCCAGTCTACTGTAATGCGAGTTGCGAGTCTTAGCGTCAATAAATACTCAATACCATACGTAGCTAATCAAGAATTTGAGCATGACGTGTCTTAATAATGATAGCACGAATCTGGTCACACAGAGCACCGCACAAGTAGATGCGTACGCAGTGCGGTTTCTGCTTGCGCCGCTTTCGAGTTCGCAGCTTGAGCGGCCCTTGCTAGAGATACCGAAAAAGAAACACAAAACAGCTGATCGTGTTTTTTTTATCTTGGCCGTGCTTTGCCAAAGAGGGCTGCACTCTAACAGCAACACGTCTCTAAAAATAGAGAAATCTCCAGAACTCACAGCAACACCTTCACAGTACAACGCCGTAGCAGCAAAAATCACAGCACCGCGATAAAACAGAACACAAAATCACTTTCATTTTTACCGATACAAAGTAACGGCTACAGCACTCATAACAACAGCGCATACACTTACGGCTACACCACTCACAGCAACAACGCAATAAAAAAACGTATACCAACAAAATGGTCTTCTTTAGGAATGCATAGAGCAAATTTTGCGAATTCAGTCAATGTAGATCTCAATGAACGTTACTGTACAGCTTGAGCAAGTGAATGCAGCCATTTTAGTGAAACAAAAGCAAAAGGAAGTATTCATGAATGCAGTACGTATCAGATTCCAAACTCAGCATTCTCGCTTTTCCTCAGCGTAGCCCAAGCACAGGCTCAGGAAACGCAGTCGCAGATACGGGGCCAGCTTGTACAGTCCCTTGTGCCACGGCATACCTGTTAAACCGAGCTCAAGAACAATGAGGCACCACAATCCACAGCTGTCGCTGTCCTGCTGCAAGCACGATGTGTAGTTGTCGTACGTCAGCTCGGTATTTGCAGGCAACAGAGGTTCCACCACTTCCTTGATGCTTGTTTTAATCTTGGCGTAGTTTATATCCTCTTGTAGTGGATCAAAGAGTCTACAGACCCGATCCCCCACGTCAATGAAAAAGATGACCCAGTGCGCTCCATCGTAGTTTAGCGCCCCAATCAACTTGCTCTTGGTGGGTTTGAATGCCTTATAAGCATTTGCGACTATTCTCTTTCGGTCGGGTTCCTTCGGCTCACGAAAGAAGGGACTCACCACACCGACTATCTCAGCCCACAATCTCATCGCTGTAATGATTGTGGTGTAGCGGGATTAGCAAAATCTGCAAGATTGCTAGATCCAACATACCAACAGCGCCCAGACACCGACTAATGGAGGGGGTCCCCCGATGATCCGTGATGTGCTGAACTTTCCTCACCTTGTGTACCCGTCGGTAGGGCGGGATCTTGCTCTCTCGGTAACTTCCGAAGAGCTCGAGTGGTGAAGCTTGAGTGTCTTGGCGAGACGTGGGGATGGGGTGGAGCAGCAGTGGTAAAATCTTCACTCTGCGTCCGTGGTTGGTTCTGGTTCCCAAGCGAATATTCGAGCTTGGTGGATACAGGGCCTTGATCGTGGATCTGGCCGTAGGGCTGCCTTGCGGGTGTGTTCCCTTGCCTTTGCGTTGCCTTTTCGTCGTACTTGCCGCCTCCTGTGACGGGATCTTGAGAGTTGAGACCTTCTTAGGTATACCCGACCAAGTAGAAAATCCGGTTGACCTGTCGGATTTGCACGTGTAAAGGAAAGCTTACTAGGTTGTAGGATCTGGCCAATGTATTATCCAGCTATCACTACCAACACTAGATTTGCAATTCCTAACCTTCACGGAGCTCGTACGGCCAATGTAGTTCCGATTCTTGAGGGCAGGGAGGCACTTGCGTGATACTGTGCAAATTGAAGACTGTATTGATACTTAAGCCTGTACCTGCCTGAATTTCTACCTTCTATGTCTTTTACCTTCTAAATCCTCCATCAGGCTCGGCTGCATGTCCTTTTTCTCTTTGGTCCATCATCCCAGCTGTATTATCATCCGATCCACCGGATCCATGGCGTAATCATTAAGGTCGCCATATTATGGGTACACTTGTCCGGATCCAGGTCGCTTTGATCCACCTCACTGCAAGTGTACACTCGTCATGGATCTGAGCCTTCCACGCTCCCACCATTGTCTTACGACTGGCTGCGGTCTCCATCACCCCACGAAAGCTCGAGATCCACTGCATCCAACATCCCCATATCCCATATCCAAGTCACTCCATGTGAGATCCTCATCTGGATCCAGACTCGGAAGTGTGGGATCTGAGACATATCGTGGTGGATCTTGCCTTCTTGTTAGTCGTTGATGACAGATCCATCTTCAGATGACGTCTACCCTCCTTTCTTCGTTGGATCCCCACTTGATCCAACTACATGGTACACCCCATATTCCCTAAGTGAACTCAGGTGAGGGTGGATCCGAGTCTTCCCTTGGTGGATCTTGCCTTCCCATACGTTACCCATACCAGATCCATAGTTGGCCCACACCTGACGCCCCTTTATCTGGGCCAATCCACTCCGAGAAACGTGGATCCATGCCGGGCGATCCAAATCCTCCCTAACCACTTGGTACTGTCACTAATTCAGGATAGTGACCCCTTGCTAGATCTCTTCTCTAATTTCTGAGAAAGCACTTCACCACATGATGGCTGTCGTGCTGAGCCATTGGTTTCGTCTAAAGCTGAGCAAACAATATCCATCGATAGCCTCTTTTCCAACGGAAAATAAACGAAGGGGTAACTCCTTTATTTGCTGTAGAATGTAGTCCTGCGAAACGTATTTACACAAAAGTTACTGACGTCAGCAGGTATCCAATCTCGCATAACTTCTCGTAGCAGCAATCGTGTGCAACAAGTCAACGTACCCATCGCTCCTGAAGTGGCTCCCAAAACATGACAGGAACAGCTTCAACAGCGGCAGCCTTCCAATTTACATCCTGAATCCATTCTAGTGTATGCTCAACGTCCTCAATCTGATTTTTTGCGTCTCCATATCGCTCTAGAAACATAAGTTGTTCCCGGGTGACGTCTCCGTATTCCTCCCAAACGGCCACGTACTTCTCCACGTTCGATAGCGGCAGGATTGACAACGCGTGGGCGATTTCTTTGAATATTTCACATACATGTCCCAGATCGAATTACCTATCCCACATTTCGGCATACCGGAAAACACACTTAGAGTCTACAGTTTTTCGGTATCTCTAGAATTTTTTAGCAGCTGGTGAGTTTTGACCAATTATATCGAAGTGTTGACTACGGTCGGTATCCGATTTTTCACTGGAATTGACAAAATTACTAGCCGAGCGCCGCCGCTACGCGGCGGGTAAGAATGAATGTCGCTCCTTGTGTTCTGCCTCCGTTCCGCTCGCCACGGACTCGCTTCACTACTCGCATGGTAGGTTGTCTGAGGCGGGCCCATAGGCCCGCAGGGTTGCATAAGTGCCGGTTTGGGTAGATATATTTAAATTATTTTATCCAATGATATGTCCGGAAAAGCGTAAATAAAATTTTATTAATACTTACATGTAATTGATATATTAAGTGCAACAAAACCAAAGCGACCCCAGCTTGACCAATCATAACGTCGCGACGTGTGGACCAAGAGAAGCCCAGCAGAGACATGGCGAGCAGCCCAGACGACACGGCGTCCCTGGCCGAGCAATTTCGTCAGGAGCGCAAAAAGCTGACACTATTTCGTCGTCCATTCAGCGTGCTGTACCACTTTGGCGTCGTGCTCCTGCGGTTCCTCACGTGGCTGGCGCTACGCGTGCAACGTAGTCGTGCCACGCGTTTCGTGTTACTACCGCTGCTTTTGGTGTGGCTAGTTGCCTCGAGTCGCGACGGACCGCACCGCCAACTGCTGGATGAATTTAATGAAAGCGTCAAGTTCGTGGTGTGGTGGGTCGGTTTGGGCGTGCTCTCGAGTGTGGGGCTGGGTACAGGAATGCACTCAGGCATTCTATTCCTCTTCCCGCACATATTCCTCGTCGTGCAAGGTGCAGAAGAATGCAAGTCACTGGACTTTGACAGTCGCCATCACATGTGGTTTCATCCTTTCGAGGCCAACTGCAACAACGTACCCGATATCTCCACTGTCACCTTCTCCGCCATCTTCTGGAAGGTTTTCCTGCCTTGTATGCTCTGGGGAGCGGGAACTGCAGCGGGAGAGATTCCTCCGTACGCACTTAGTCGCGCCGCGAAGTTGGCCGGACAGCGTAACGAAGAATTCGAGGAGATCGCTGAGTCCAAGTCCCAGTACAACCTCATGAACAGCATGAAGGACTGGATGATCCGCTTCCTGGAGAAACACGGCTTCTGGGGCGTGCTGCTTATGTCTGCCTGGCCCAACATGGCCTTCGACCTCTGTGGCATCTGTTGTGGACACTTCCTCATGCCCTTCTGGACGTTCTTCGGTGCTACGCTCATCGGCAAGGCTCTCATCAAGGTCAACATGCAAGCTGCGTTCTTCATCACCATCTTCACGGACGCGCATCTTAAGCGGGTGGAGGCCTTGATTGGACGCGTAACTCCCGAGGAGTGGGGACTTGGCTCTCGTGTTAGCGAGTTCTTGTTCGAGTGCCGCGAGAAATTCCACTCAGCACAGGTTAAGGCTGCAGCTGAGCACGCTGGCACTGCAGCGACAACCGGCAGCAGCTTGGTCTCCCAGCTGGGCTCATGGATCATGGTGGCATTCATCGCCTATTTTGCCATCTCGTGCATCGAGCAGTTTGCGCAGCAACACGCCGCCGAGGAGGACGCGAAGAAGCTCAAGAAAGAGAAGTAAGCCTCCTGCTTTGCTAGCAAGCTCATACACCTATCCTTGCGGAGCAATGAGAAGGAATGAAGTGTACCGAGTCTCCACAATTGAATCCAGGAGGTGGTCTGGTTAGCGAGAAAAGGGCCAGGACAGACTTTTCTGTATTGATCTAGGTTGTTGGATACTTTAGTAGTATACTGCTTCCACTATTAATCGCTTTACAATAGAGAGCATTCTGAAAGTCTGACGAGTTCTGTGAATGCTCAAACAGTTCTCGGTTTCTCTTCGCGCATCCTGAGATCCGCTCGCTACAGAGCTTCCAGTCGCAACTTCTCGGACTGCGCCAACTCTTCATCGCCGTTCTATTGTATGCCCAAAACAGTTTTTCCGGGTGAGTGTATCATACTCCATTTTAAAGATGATGACGTTCTCCATGAACCTGTAGGGCGATGGTATCCTTGCGATAGTTTACGTCCGAGGGGGGCGCATTCTTAGTGGGTGTGTGCTGAAATGCCGGCTCCGACTCCACATGCCAATAACTGCAACGTTTAGGTTAGATATTGACGACATACGTACGAAATGCTCGATTCACGTACGTCTCGCCGTCAAGCTGGATGTGCGATAACCAAAAGCCATTTACAGTTGCCACTGCGTGCTTGACAGGTTTCTGTAAAGGTAAAACATTACACAACATGAGCCAGCGACTGGTTTACCAAACATACTGATCAAAGCACTCTTACCTTTGCTGCGTACATGTAGATGCATCCCTTAATGTCGGCGCTATGTGCTTTCTTCAAGAAGTTGTTGTTTGCGTCAAAGTTGAGGTCACCCACGAGGCGATTTTTTGTGTCCTCAACCATAGAAGTACCAGCGATTTCCACCACGCGATCACCGAACAGGATGCCACTCATCTTGATCTGAGACATCGTGGTTGTGACGACCACGCTCGAGGAATGAAATCGCCGCTGCTCTGTTCTGGTAATTGGTAAGAGAATTTCCAGTAGAGACTGATTCAAACTCGTAGACTCCAGACATTCGATGAACTTCCTTTGGCCCACGACTGTGACGTGCTCACGATTTGGGAGCTGGAACTCCCGTTAAGCCAACGTTTATTGCTTGTAGTTGCTTGGTTGCTTCAATGTCAATTGAAGAGTGAACTATCTAATCGAATTTAGGACGCACCCGCCTGCCATGACGGCAGCCCAGGGGATGCCGTTCTTGTAGTCCGCGTTGAAGAACAACCGGCTGTACTTTATCATCCTGTCATGCCTTCTGGAGCAGCACCTGCGAACAGCACCTAGAGATCTGCTTAACTATAGTTGAGCAGTGATCTCTCCAACGAAGTTGGCTGCGGGTTGGAGGAGCTGGTGCAAGTAATCTTGCATTACATCACACTGCCCCCCAAGCTTTCCAACACCGCAGTTATAATTCCTCCCGTCGTCGTCGCCGTGTTATAAATGCTGTTCCCCCCATGATCGTGTACTTGAAACCGTCTCGTTACATATGCTGTCATAGCCGGTACGCCAACTTCAACACGTTGCAGTGTTACAGGTTCATTCCCCAAAGATTTGCACCAATTCAGCTTCAGCCAATGAAAATCCAAGGATTTAGATCTCATCCAATCACAGGCGTCCAAAACTTCAAATCCGAATTGTATTGCCTGCACTTCGTCCTGCAACTCGAAACTTTGCCATCGTAGTCGTTGTTGATGATACCAGGAGTACCAGAAGTTCCAGTCTCTAACCAAGTCGTAGGCCGTTCCCAGTTGCAGATCCTTCTCAAATCGATAATCGTCTTGAGCAGGATGTGCCCATAACTTAGCCTTCAGGAAGTGTTGTGGGTTGGCTTGACTTCCGATCGATAGCTGTTGTTGTAGCGCGTAGGAAGGTACCATCACGAGCTTCATTAGCGTAGTGTAGTAAAAGTTGTGGTACATCTTCACTCATGGTCTTCAAAGGCTACCAGGAGTCCTCTACGGTCTCAAAGCCAAGCCACTTTACTTTCACCTCATACGCCTGCATGTCTGCATTCAATCGGTGCCCCATGATCGCTTCTACGGCCAGCAGTGTTCCTTGAGAGGCAACATGGTCGAGAAGCTCCTCAGTCACATTTAGTGAGTCGTCTGCATACAGTTTTAGACGAGATGGGTGCACATTCATTGTTTTTCCACTGACCAAATGCTTCACAGTAAAATAGTAGTCAGCACTGCCAACCACGCGATACGGACCGACCCACATCACTCGTAGCTTGTTCGCATGCAACTTCTCATCGACACGAGAACGTAGGACGTAATCACCGACCGAGAAGTTTACAGGTTGCTCATAGTGTGGTCGATGCCGGTACCGTTTGGCCTGGCGTTGTCGCTCCTCCTTGGCAGACTTGTGCATGTTGCGGATGTTTTCTTGTAGTTTGGTGAGTCGCTCCACTGTACTTGGCGCTGGTTGGTCCAGCGTAGCTACACGCCCCTTCCCTCCCGGGAAAAATACCGTGTCCAATGCACTGGGACATGACAATCCCGTAAATAACTCAATCGGAGCCCGGTTAGCTAGTGACGATACCGGTGAGTGGTTTATGCTAGACTGTACCAGCGGGAGTAGGTAGGGCCAGTCGTGCAAGCTGATCTTGTACTCAAGTGCCAGTGCCTTTAGTACTTGCAAGATGTCCCGGTTTACGCGCTCCACTGAGCCGTTTTTCCAAGGTGAGTATGCTAGCACAAACTCTTGGCGACTTTTCAGTCTCCGGCCTAGATCTGCCACCACCTTGTTCTTAAAATGTGATCCCGAGTCACTAACCCACACCCTCGGCGCTCCAAAGCGGCTGTACCAGTCCAGGATGGCACTCGCTGCAACTTCAGATGTTGGGCTATCACAAGCCACCAGTGGGTTGCCTCGTCCTTCAGGACGAGCGTGTAGCGAGAGGTACCAAAAGAGTCGCACAGAGTCAAAAAGTCCCAGTGTAGCGTCTCGTTCCGCTCATAGGTATAGTGGGTCTCACTAAAAGGTCGGGGGATCACCACCCCTCCCTTCACATGTAGGCAGAGTAGGCATTTCGAGCAGAAATCCTTTACAATCCTAGTGAGGCCACCAATGTAGAACAACCGGCGAATGTGGTTCTCCATCACATGTATGCCGCGGTGTCCATTTCTACCACAATGAGCGACTATCAGAAGTCTCTGAGTAAGGTCGTGAGCTCCACTCGGTATCCACATCATGTTATTCACGAGCCACAGTTCATCATCACTCAGCGTTGCACCCTTTGGCGCATCGTGCAATGCTTGCACACTTCCGATTTCCTCGATAGTGGGCCACACAAATCCGTCCTGATCTAGTGGACGCAACGGTGGTGGTGTTGTGCCTGACACTGCACTGCTGCCACGCTTCCGGTTGGCACGTGTGAATCTCTTGGCTGACTGCATGCGCGCAGTAGGTAGGGGTTTGCCACCCCACCTCGAGATCAGGTCTGTCCACACGTTATGGATTCCCTCAATGTGTTCGATCGAGTATCTATACTCCAATAACTTCGTGGACCAGCGCAGCAATTTACCCCGGACGTGCTTCTTCAGTTCTTTGTTCGGAGCGAAGAGATACACGATATTTCGATGGTCACAGTAAAGCTTGAAACCTTGGGGTCGTAGGAGTAGGTACTCCAGTCTTTCGCACGCGTGTACAATTGGGTAAGACGCTTTCTCAATGACGCTCCAATTGAGTGTAGAGCCTTTGAAGTTCCCACCCATACACACGAGCAGTTCGTGGTGCTGTTCGTGGATGGGTACATCATCTTGCCACTGACCCACTTGTGTGACCACAAGTCCCCATCCATAGTCAGAAGCATCGCTCAAAACACACAGTTGTTTGGCCGGGTCTGGAAATGTGAGCATTGCCGAATTGCCGAGCAGGTCCTTCACAGCGTTGAAACATTTAACCTCAGCTTCAGTCAGATTCAGCTTAATGCCTGCGGCGATACGTTTCGTCTTTTTGGAGCCGGTAAGAGAGTTATCAAGCCGCTCCTGTAGTGGTCGTGCTACCTGAGCATAGTCTAAGAGCCCTGACCTCATCCAGTTGCTCGCACAGAGAAACTGTTGCAACTCTGCAGCGGTCTTGGGCACGGGCATGTCGCGCAGAGCTTGGATTCGCTCTGGGTCGTGCCCGATCCCGAGTCGGTTGATAATACGACCGCACCATCGCACTTCAGTAAGAAAGAGGGCACTCTTTTTTGGGCTGAGCAAAAATCCATGCTTGTCTAGCTTCACCAGTACAGCATCGATCGCATCCACTAACTCTTCTGCAATGTCAGCGAAAACCAACAAATCATCAATCCATACTATAACGCTCTTGTTCACCAGATCGCCCAATACCATTTCCACTGTTGACTGAAAGTGCAGTGCTGCGTCTGTACTCCCCTGAGGTACTCGTGTAGGTGTAAAAACACCTCGGTCTGTCATGTAAGAGAGGATTTCTTGACAACTCTTATCCAAGGGTAGCTGCCAGAATCCTTTTAAGAAGTCGAACACCGCGTAAAACATTTTTCCTTTGCAGTGCTCGAGGGCCACCTCAAGACTTGGCATTACGCCGGCAATCGGTTCGGTCACAGAATTTGTAGGTCGATAATCCACAGTTTGTCTAAATTCGCTGGTGTTTGGCTTCGTCACAACACCAACGGCTCTCACGATTTTCGTATACCCAACCAAGTGACACCAGCTTCTTGTTGAACTCGGCCATAAACTCAGATTTCTCCGGGCTATACTGTCGAACTTTACACCGATATGGTGTCGCACCTGGTTTCAACCTGATCTTCAGTGCGGGTACACGCGCAGGAGGGTCATCCCCAAACTCTAAACGCCATCCGCCATACTTACGAACAACCCCATACAGTCGACTAGTTGTGTATTCGTCAATCACACCACGGTCCATAGCGTCACGCACTAACGCATCCACAACTTTCATCACAACGTCGCCATCAGCAGGTTTACATGGTGGCATTCCCTCATGATCGCCACACGGATCGTCATCTTCCATTCCACGAGTAGCCAGATACTCTAATTGGCGGTCCACATCGATACCAAGCTCGACCAGCAACAGCTTACCAACGCTAAATTCGTCTTCGTCGGTCTCGACAATCAAACACTTTTTTTGCCTCTTGGCACCTCACAGGCCCTGCTGCAGTATTAAGCGTC